CAAGCAAGGTGACATGTATTAAAGTATATGTAAATAATAAAAATAAATTTTATGTCACCATTTTTGTCATAGAGCGCTCGTGAAAAATCTGGACTAATACAAGGACATGTTAAAAGCCAAAACATTATATTTGTCTTCTTAAAGTGGGCGCGTTTGAAAATTGAAATGATTAAAACTTCTGACGATAGTCAAGTCTAAAAAGGAAAGTTTATTGTCAATCTCTAGTTAGCTGAAAAAGAAGTATTGTTTTTAAGTTAGTTTATAAAACGCTCTTACTATCCAGTACAACTTTTAACAGTATTATTATTGCAAGAGTAAAAAACCTTTTGACAAAAAATAATTATTGTTTGAACTTTATCAACAAAAACATAAATGTTGGATTAAAAAGACAAAATTACTTAATCACAACAAAACTACTATAAACACTTATCCTCTCTGCAAAATTGGTATACCATAAATAGACAATAATTTTGAAAAAAAATCCACCATGTTAAGACTTTACAACTTTAATACTTACCCTATTATCAAGAACAAACTAAATCACGTCGTTTGAACAATAATTCTGTTTTCGTTATCATCAAAATATTTTTAACCATAAATTTGATTAGAACATTAACATCCTTGACAAAAAATCTAATTCTAAAAAAAATTTGCTTCTAAAGTGCTTTTTTTAAACTAGACAAGCATAAAAGTAAAAGAAAGAAAGATGTTCTTTCTCTTATTCAAGCGTACCTTTCTTCACTACAAGAGTTTAAATGTCCCAACCAAGTTCATCACCCTTTACCGCCTACCTTTGTTTTTCGCCTCCATAAGCGCAAGCTTATTGTGTAATTTATTGTCAGTCGATAGTTCAACAGGTGACGAGAGAGACAATGTACTTGCGTGCTCCTGGTAATTATTGGTTATTGGGTTATTGTTTATATTCATTATTTATATCTTAAATTTTTTTTAATTTTTGTGTATGAGCTTTATCAGATATCTTTTTGTGTTATTAATTTAGTAGCCTGATGAGGCTGACACAAATGATCAAAAAAAAGTTTTATTTATAAACTAACATAAGAAAATTTAAATACACCTTGTATTTATTTTGTATCTTGCCCCCAACGTAGCACCTATCACCTTAAACTTCGAAGTTCATTGGAGGCCACTGTCTTTATTAATGTCAAAAACGAGGACTGAGGCAAAGAAGAAAAAATAAAGTGTAAAGTGTGAGATCAAAAGAGCATATCTTGCAGTTAAAGCCTTCTTATAAGCTGATGAAAATTCCCATATTGCTTAAGTTAGCCTGAGATAATGATACAGTCCACATCTGAAAACATGGGTCCATATACAATAGCAAACTAAAATATTCAAGCTTTAGTAAGGAGGAGGATGAAAATATTCGAGATCTTCTTGTAGAAAAGCATATTGAGCCATGTCAACGAAAAGTAAAAAAGTAAAAAGAAATTATTATTTCGAAAACATTTGCTCTTATTTGAAGAAATATGGATATGATTTATAACAAAAAATTTCATACATAATTGATTATTTTTACACTATAAGAAGTTTTTGAAAATTTTTTAAAATCCGCTATAGATATAAACATAAGATTTTAATTTTTTTCATTAAATTCATTCACATATTATTTTAACAATTTCAAACCCTAAATTTATTAGCTTGCTCTATTCACTAGATAGATACTGTGACTAAAATGAGTATGTCATAAATAAGAGAGCGGCGTTGGCTCAGTGGTAAGCGTGCTTGCTACTCATACAACGCTGTTCTAGGGGTCGTGGGTTTGATTCCCGGTGAGTGCAGATTTTTTCAAAAACTGTTTTCATCGGGAAAAGTTCCTATATAACCCCGGCTGTTTTGGAGTGGGTTTTTCCGAGGAATTTTCCTTCAGAGTAATTCCAGGGTTTTTTCCTTGCTCCACAGGTCTTCGGGCCTGGGTGAATGCGAAACAGTGTTAGGGCCTAATAGGTAGGGATTAGCCGGCCTGATGCCGGGCAGGAATCGCCGGCCTTACCGGCAAGGAGTGGCCCCTGAAACATGGGGCTTCTCCGGGGATGCTAATTAGCCTGGATCCGATACTTAGGACCCAAGCTACACAGTAGCGAGTTGACCCGATGCACTTCCCCCCGGTGCAGAGAGTGTCAGCTTAACTGACAAGGTGTGTTACACTGGAGATACTTTCACTGTGCCCATGGTATAATTTGTATGCTATCAATTAAAAAGAGAAGATTTAATGGGTGTGGCAATACACCCCCACACATAGGTGGTGCGTGGGTGGCCCTGGCGACTGGGCTAATAGGCTGTCGCGGTAACCTGATATAAAAAAAAAAGTATGTCATAAATAACATTTGTTTTTCTCAAAAAACTATTTATTTACAATTTTTAGTAAAAAATACATTATCACAGGTAAATATTATTTTTACAAAAAATATTAAACTTCATTAGTAAAAATAAAACAAATAATCACCAACAGTATTTACAACACTCTTCTTGTAACGCTGTTCTTCTAATATTACTTTAAAATAATTGTTAACTTTGTACATAAATATCACACAATTACTCCAATTTCTATCACTTTGAAAAAAGATTATTTGTGTGCTGCGGATAAAATCCGATATTATATTATGTAAGAAAAAGTTTATGAGGATAAGAACTGTAAAGAATAAAAAATGTACAAAATTAAAATTGTTTAGAATTTTTGTTAAAAATTGTACCTGCTGTTATCAATGATATCATGCTTTCCATAAATAAGATTCTGTCCTATTGCAGGCTGAAACTCTTATAATTGCCGTCAAAAAAGCATATCCGTGTTCTCTGAAATACACCAACATATGCACCAGTGCTCTTACAGAATAGAAAGTACTGTTGTTATACTATTGGTAGGTATAAGTTAAAATAGTTGAGTACTCTCATTTAACGTCACTAATTTCGTTTGCATGAATACACTAGTATCTGTAATATTTTGGCCAAAATTAATATCTCAGCCACTGTATTACGTATAAGTTTTTAGAAAAAAAATGTTCGCCTTCGTCGAAAATTGGGAACTTGTAATAAGTTCTTACCTATTCAGGAAACAACGGCCCTTTTAATGACGGGATTCAGATCGTTTTCTGCAGTTCGGGAGTCCACTACTTCCTTGAGTGAAAGCATTTTGTCAACTGATAATCCTTCTCCAAGCCGCGTTCAAATTATTATTTTTTTCATTCATAGCATATGTCAGAGATGTTATCAGCTGTAAGACTGTCAAGCCACTTTTCTAAATACTGTTCAAAGAACATACCAAGCTAAAGTCCTTAAAGAAGCGGTCTTATTACCAGACGTATTGCTTTTATCCCTGGGGCTTAACCTGCGATTACACAAAGCTCTACTTTAACGTTTATAGTGCTATACAAAAAGTGCACAATTAAACTAAGCACTTACTTGTTTTATTTAATAAATGTCTACGTAGATGATCACTCGAAAAATACGAGCACAAATACGAGCACTTATACCCACTCATTCACATATGTACATTTTCATGCTTGTGAATAGGTAAGTAGTTAACGGTGGCCTTCTCATGGAACAGACAATCACCCCCCTTCATTTGGAGCAGCAATGGATGATATATATTAATTTATTGTCAGTCGATAGTTCAACAGGTGACGAGAGAGACAATGTACTTGCGTGCTCCTGGTAATTATTGGTTATTGGGTTATTGTTTATATTCATTATTTATATCTTAAATTTTTTTTAATTTTTGTGTATGAGCTTTATCAGATATCTTTTTGTGTTATTAATTTAGTAGCCTGATGAGGCTGACACAAATGATCAAAAAAAAGTTTTATTTATAAACTAACATAAGAAAATTTAAATACACCTTGTATTTATTTTTTATCTTGNACATAATCATGGAAATTAATAATTTATTTATTTATCTTTATCCAATGTCGTCCAGACTTTTTGTCCGTATGACAGAGGGAGGCACAAAATAAAGTAAAGGCACGAAAAATAAAACCTTATTTCTTTCAAAACTTTTCAAAAATTTTATTGTACTTATACCACTGTTTCTTTATACACTATCTCTACGATACTACCTTTATGACCCTACTCGTATGGTAATAAATTTCATATGACTACAGGATGGGAACAGATTACGCAGTAAGTACAGTTAACTACTTACATTATTTGCTTCTTCTCATCCCCTACAAGGCCTTTTACATAAAACTACAAAGTAAAGTAAGTGAAGAGGTACTTTAAAAGAGATACACGTTTCGTATAACTTCTGAGGCATTTATACTAGATTTCAGATAAAGTGTTTTTCAATACATTAAATTTTTTTTAATGTAAAAAACATGTTTGTTTCGTAAAAAACCGTTAACTTTAGTGTTCAATCATTTGAAGTGCGTTATAATGAAAGAAGATTTTGTTTTAATTTCCCATTACGTAGCCACTTGGACATGAGTTTCGTGCTTAATACTTTAGAGGAAACAAGCATAATGTGTTCACTTGTATCCTTGTACTAACTGTACTTGGTGGTGGTGCGTAATTATTCTTATTATTACAGATAAAAGTATGACAACTACAATATAGTTATATCTTTTTCCGAGATCTACGTATTAACTTTTCAATTTTTATGCAAAATTTAGTTTTTCCGTACGGTTTTGTAATAGCCTAGATTTTTTAAAAACAATTTAATTTTGTAGTGAAGTCAACTTGTAAATGTTGTAAAAAAAAATATCATCAAACTGTCTTCTTCACGCATTACGTTCAAGCATTACTTAACTCATTTTATTACTTTTTGGAGTATAAATGCAAAAAGGTTTTCACGTTTTTTTTTTTTTTTTATGGAAAATAATTAAAAGTATTTCATAAAAAAATGTGCTTTGATAAACACAAAAGTAAACCTTTCGAATATAAAACTCTTTAATATTGAAAAATTGACCATGCAATAAAATTTTTCATTTATTATTGATCTTAGTGCTAATGCAGCTTCACTTATATACACCTCAATTTTAATGTTATTGCAGCTTCAGATGGGGCTTTTAAGAAACTTAAGTCGGATCCATGTAATTCAAGTCAACATATAAGTCATACACCAAATACGTCCACTTGCCCTACTCCTGCTCGCCGGCGACACAGGACAACTTTTACCCAAGTAAGATCAAAATTTATAACCCTTTTAATAAATAAAATAAGCAAGAACAAGCAACACCATTATATCTTGTAAGTTTCAGCATTTACATTTGGATGAAAAAATTTGCAATGACAAAAGTCAAATTCTTCTACAGAAATGTATACTTTGTCACTAAAACAATTTTCTTTATATTATTATTCATCCTTAGTATTAGAAAATCTTGGTATGCCAAAAATAAGGTTTTTTCTTACAGAAGAGTAGTTGTATGGTATCGTTAAAAAATGTAAGTAGCCTTCTTAAAATAGTAAATTGTCATCTAAATTATTTTATCGGCAATGATTTAGGAAACGAGAGCTTATTATTAATTGACATTGTACTTAGCTTTTTACACAAGTTCTTTTTATTTTTTATTTTGAACCATATAATTTTATTTTTTTTATTTTTTAAGTACACTTAGTTTTGTTAAACATTATATCCAAAATTGTTTTACGTTCTGGTACGGACAGAATGCAAAAAAATGTACTCTAGCAAACTTTTTATTTCCCTAAAACACAACTGTTCAGGTAATAAAATTATATTATTCACAATAGTTGGGCTATCAGTCCATATTATAAAGAGACTATTCTTTTATTTTTCAACTTTAATAACTTCCAATAAACTATTTAAATAAATAAAAAAGATACTACGAGTGGCGTTAGCTCAACAGTAGGCGTGCTTGTTACTAATACAATGCTGTTCTAGGGGTTGTGGGTTCAATTCCCGGTGAATGCAGATTTTTTCTAAAACTGTTTTCATCCGATAAAATTTCTATGTAACCTGGGCTGTTTCGGGGCGGATTTTTTCGAGGAATTTTTCTTCCGAGTAATTCTAGGGTTCCTTCCTTTTTTTTAATTTTTTCATAACAAAGAAAGACAAATAATAAGCCTTATAAATAACATTAGCCTTCATTACTTATTGATCTATATTAAGCAATGTGGTGATGTAGAAATAAAGAATACGTTGATGTGTCAGCAGAAATACTGTCAATAGTTTTGATGTTTCAAGTTCATCTACGCTGAAATTTTTATTCATTAAATTTATGTAATTTGCTTACAGCAATTATTGACAATAAAGAGAATATAACAAAGTCTATAGAATTTTCTTAAAAAGGTATACAACTATTGCCGTATCATGGAATCCGAAAATAAGCATGCATGTAACTAAACAATGCACACTGACTATTTTTGTGGTGGCATAATGTCAGAGAAGAGATAATGTTGTAAATTAAAATACAATGTTACATTTCTTATTATATAATTATCGAGCATGCTATTATGGTATTACTTGCATCTCTTGAGCTTGCATAGTAAGTCCGAAAATCTTGCATAATATTACGTGACTTTTTTAATTGATTAGACGTCTTTTTGTGTGTTTTAAGTTCCTAAGACTAAATATTCGTATATCTCTTTAGTTTAAGAGCTCTCCAAATTAAATTTGGTAGTTGCAAAGTATAATTCAATGTCAAATTCATAAAATAACGCAGAGCATGAGCTATTTAGATCTATCTGTTTCTATGTTTATTTCTTTCCTAGATACTACAGCATTAGAGCCCGCATCAATAGCTGATGTTTGCAAGAATGCACTAAAATTAATTCTTGATCTTATAAGCTTAAGTCCATGTTTTTTTTTTAACAATATTACTTTCGATTATTACTAGAGAGTCTCAGATCACTTAAGGCTCTGAGCTTTTATACATTCTTAGACAATACGTCTTAATCAGGACTTATGGCTTATAATTAATTACGAGTGTCATCAGACTTATATCTCTGTACTTGAGTATTTTGACGTAATTTACCTCACATCTAGTTTCTCTAAATAGACGACAGATAACGTTGCTTACTAGTACAATAATCTTCTTGGTTGGGGAGAGACATAGTAAGACACATCCATCAGGTACTGCCATGGATAGTTAGCTCGTGTCTCAGGATTGTCTAAGAACCCTATGTATGCTGCCCATAAATAATTTCCGCCACTTGTAGGAAAACTAACCTATGCGTATCAGAAAACCATGATTATCAAAGAACAATCATAGTATTTCATAGAGCCCTTAAAATGAGACATGTAGACAAACCAGAGCTCTGAACAAATTTGTCTAAAACAGAAGCTGTTGAATGTGCCTTACTAATAAATCCACCAACAGCTCCTCGACAAATCACGCTGAATTGAGTTGTAATACATTTGCCCCTAAACAAAGAAGATAACTATAGTAGTATTAGATTATCATCTTTAGTAATCTATCTGTCATGATAATACAAGGCACTACTGGATATGAGTAGACTTGATATTAAGTTAACATATGAATTAAAAGTTTTTAAAAATTGAAGAGTTCCTGACATAAGCTGCAAATGCATACGACTAACAAGCATAAGTCTTAACATGCCTAATCTGCTTATCAAAGATTACAAGGGATTGATAAGGTGCTCAGATTTTCGCTTATACTTAAAAAATACAATAAGAATATGCAAGTTAGTTTATACCAGAGACTTAATTTTTTACTAGCAAAATTTTTTAATAAGATGTCTTTAGATATGTACAAAGTTCTAATGCTCATTTTTAACTTAGTTATTAGGAGTACGTCAACATCTTATGATTATCGATTAATGCAATCCCCATAACTGCAAGATTATTAGGTGTTATCGTATCACAACAGCCTCTTCTTGGAAATTAAATAAATTACCATCATTATTGACCATTAAGAATCAAAGAATGTATCTTACAATAAGTCAAATAGTGCATTACGATACTAGTGCACGGGAAAGGCAATTGACACACGCGTGTCAGCTCGGAGTCACGCGTGTATTAGTCACATAACCTTTTGCACGTGTGGTGTGTACAACTTTCCAACACAGCGTATTAAGGGAACGAGATTCTGAGCCACCTAATGTGGCTCTATATAGACCTCGACGTACACACGCACTCACACGAGTGCGCAGCACTAGCTGTGAGTAGGTGTGTTAATCAATATATTTAGAGCCACAACAGGTGGCTCATAATTGAGTAGGAACTGCAAACAGCGCATCGAAAAAGTTATTAAAGTAAATATTTAAATGATCTTTTAACTAAGTTAAATAGCCTAGATGAATTTAATCATGGTTTTAACTTTTTTCCATTTATATGTGCTGTTGCAAAGAATGCAGCCTAAAAGGCTCTTTACTTGCTAATGCGCAAGTTGCTCTTAACCCAGCAAACAAGAGTGGTAAAGATAAAGCATCTTTATTTCTAGCAGCAGTGCAGTGAGTTGGATACGTATCAGTGAAGAAAGAATATTCATTATTTACTCTTTAAATTATGCTACGTGCAGTTTTCGAACAAAAACTAATAATTGAGTGTGCGTCTTTGCTTGAATGTCTAGTTTTTTGAGTCAGCTTCAATACTTTTATTCATGGTAGTACAATATTTACACTTTTTTTTATTGAACCTTACCACTCTTTTTATATCTTGTCAACTAATTTTTATTGTACTTTCAAGCTCTATTGCGCTTGTTATCACTATAGTATCTGATTTTTTTAAGATGCTTAAATTTTTGACTTCAACTTTCTGCCAAGCTCTCTTGGATATCATTCTACTTGTTGAATTTTTGGTGTTAATGTTATCTTTATTCTAAAAATAATTATGCTTCTTTTATGCTTTATTTAATGAAATCACGCCTATATCACTCTAAGATATACAGCTCGTGCGTTTAGTACCTAGACCACAGTACTTACAATCAGATAAATAATTTCTTATTAGTTAATTATTTATGATATTACTTAAAAAATCATCCCCTTGCTTATGATGTTTGCTAGTTACTGATCCCGAGAGCAGTTATTTAAAGATTTTCAGCTTACGGGCCAATTCCAAAATCTTGTTATGGTGTACATGCACAGTCAACACAAGAGGTAATAGTATATACAGCCAATTTAACTTTAAATGGTATTCGAGTCATAACAAAAATAGCCACAGAGTGCAGACAGAACATTGATGGGGCGATGTCTAAAATTACAAGCTCCAAATTTCGAAATGGTTCTGAAACAGGAATAAACATTCGAATTAACATGGTTCATTTTGTAGTACTATTAAAGCAGTATTATCTGCTTTATCTAAATGTTGTTAGACCAATGGTTTATAAGTGCTACATATAATTAAAAAAGGCTTAAAACTTAAAACGTGAATCAAAGTGGGACAACTAACTAAAGTCCCTCCATTTTCAAGAACTGTTGAGCCTTTAGATGTCGTACAATACCTTCGTTCTCGTAAATGTAAAGCAGTATTACATTTAAAAGACTGAATTTCTGTTTCAATTTTTAATGATAAAGTATGCAAGAAATAAGAGACTATGAAAGTCTTTTTGTGTATGGAGAGACATAAAAGTGTGATACGCTATCATCTCTACCAATCATTTTCACAAGTCCCTACACATATTTTGAAAAATAACATCAATCTGTAAGCTACATGTTACCAAGATGAACTTTACAAAAGATGAGTGTTTGATGATCGCGTCAATTCTGTTATGCTTTACAATAAATTAAAAGGTCCATAGTCTAATTACACGATGCACTGTATGTACAGGCTTACACAACTTACATTACAGTATGGATGTGGCGCTGTTCAGTAGTATTTGCACATCTGATGATGAATCGGAAATACGGTTATTTCTATCTAGAAAGTGGAGCATTTTGCATGAACATCCAACAAATATATAAGAAAAAAGTATCGTTAACTGAAGCAGTTGTATTGTAGAAACACTATTAGGTCCAAGATAATGGATAAACTTTCAAAGAAGAAGTTAAAGTTCGGAATTGATCATTAACTACATATAAGTAAAATGAAAAATGCTTTTAAGAAGGGCTGTACATTTACTTGGTCAACAGATATTCTTACAATTCATGCAATAATAAGCAAGGCTACATTACTGTAGGAGTTCTTGTGGTACTTCAAAACGAGATCATTGAATTTTGTATAATGGTTAATATTTAGTAACTTCTTCGAGTTGGATTGTAAAA